GACAACAACTATTCAATGGCATTCTGTCAAGGCCTCACACTTTATCGAATTCATGCGGCGGATAATGGAACTGCTGACACGCTAAAGCATTTAACAAGCCATCTTGACTGGTAGCCGTTGCTTTGAAAATGGCGATGCTGATTGTAACATTGTATTGACAGATCTAAGACAATCCCAAAGGTGTCTGAATCTTGTCAATCTAGAAGAAAAAAAAACGTGACGTAGAATCCACAGTCTCTGTATTAATTGACCAGATTGAAATAAAAATTGCAAATCAACGAGCATCACAGCATGAAAATCCATTTTCTGCACCTCGGGAAAACGTTTCGGGTATGTATAATCTATTACGTTCACTTATACGAATTTTTTTTTTAGATTGGATTACGGATTTTTTATTGAAAAAAATTAGGTCGGTCGAAAAGAAAATTAAAAAAAAAAACTTTTTGACATAGTTTTAAAAATATTAAAAATAAAACTAGTTATATGTTTTGTTTGATTTTTATTTAGTATTCCATGTACATATGCTTAAATTGATTCACAAACCGCCGTTTAACAAACTTTCCTCCTCAGCCATCATGGCGCATGTGACAGTCAAGTGTGTATACCAAACCCGATCAATTTTAAAACCGAAAGTACAAAAATTAAGGCATCTTTTCGTAATTGAAACCAATTTAGGGTGTTCTTATCGATATTTTTCACAGTTTGCAGTCATTTGAATTTTTTTCTTTTGTATTTCTTTTAATTTATGTCGGTCAGTAATGAAAAAAAATTGGAAAAGTGCATTTTATTTTTTTTTTCTACAAGTCAAAAAATTCGGTCGGCGGATCCGTAACCCAACTAATAAAAAAAAACGTTCACCTTATTTTATCATATACTACTACCTCGCAGTACAGTTAAGGCTACACATGAAGATAATATGGTAATGAGGTCATAATGAGGTTTGACGTCATGACAGTTGCTCCGCCTTGATATCCATATAAGGAAATGGAGCTAAAAAAAAAGCTATTTAATGATGATTGCGAGAATTTGTAATGAATGTCTGTATTTTCATGTTTAAATAAATAAACATTAGTGATTTTCTCTTATATAGTAACAACACGTCTTCGAAATAATTCTCTTTTTATTGTGTCGTTTGTCTGCATTCGGCTACAGCCAAGCGCTTGCACTCGGTGACACGGAATGTTGTTTACATCTAAAACCGTGGCGACAGCAGCTGAAATATGCAGTTGATAAATGCAACAATCAGGCAATCTTTAAAGAGAATAGGGATGAAATAAGAGACCTGGGCCTTGTTTATCTTTTTGATGAGAAGATGATGACGTTATTTCGGGAAATCATGGAAAACTGAGACGATCCCACTACCTCCCTAGGTCCCTTTGTGTTCATTAAGGTGTGTATGTGCATGTATTAGGTATTAGGTATTAACATGTAAACATAATATTCTTTACATCGATGTAAAATAACCGTGCCTTGTGTGTATCCCCCCCCCCACACACACACATACACAAAAACACGCACATTATGAAAGTTGCACACTTTTAAACATGCAATGATGTTGTCATTTGGCATACATGTACAAACATGTAACATAATATAAGCACAGCACGTCATGATATCAAATAGTATAATTTAGATGCAGTCACACTTACAATGTATTTGTGAAGTCAAACTGCACAGTGTACAATGTATGTGCACTGTACATAAAAGAGTATAAGACCCTATAAGTTATAATTTATACCTCTAGCAATCAAAAATATGTGAATTTGAAGATTTCAGTTTTTACCATTGCTTCTTATTTTAAATTCATCATAGAACTTTTACTATCTGTATCACTGGGCTGTAAATTTATAGAATTTCTGCATTAATGAAGATAAAAAGAAAACTGTGACTATTCAAGAAGCCTATTTCTAGATAAATAATACTTTGAATTTTTAACAGTACAATGGTGTGAAAGTTTGAAGGCTGTTAAGATTTGAATATCTTTACTTGAATGTATTCTGACAGACGCGTAACTGCCTATACGCAAATACGCAGATGTATACACATCGTTTTAAAATTTAAAAATTGGGAGGGGGGGAGGAGAGGTTTGTGAGAAGAGAAAAAATATCAATATTACCCAGCAAATATTTGTGTTTCAAATTATTTTATCTCGTACTGTTTGGATTCAGATTCAAATTTTATATTACTATGTCTTTATAAAAAAAATTGAAATGTTTTATTAAATCATTGCCACAACCAAATAAAATGTTTATTAATTTGTAATTCTTCTAAACCACATAGATAATTTTTTTTAAAGATCTTTGAGAAAATATCAACCGTTGAATGCTGTGATCCACTAGAAAATGATTTGAAATGTAACATTATTTTTGTTAATAATTGAAATTAATTATATTTGTTGCTGAAAGTTAAGAGTAGATGATATCAATATATCATTTTAAAAAATAAATTTGCACCGAAGTATTTAACTTTGTGTTAAAAGCAATATTAAGTACTCTTGTATTTCCTAAAGAAAACCGCAATGGCATGATTCTGAATGAAATATTTGTAAATCCCATGAGCTTCCAGAGACTTCGCCCCTAGGTCCTCATCAGGGCCTAGCCCTGGACCAACGGGGGGTCTCAAAGCGGACCCCAGCCGTTCTTTGCGTACATTTCACTTCAATTCTGGCTTCACGCCTGTCTGTGTTTTTGGGTACCAATAAGATCTAAATTTCAGCATGTATATTGTGTTCACCTGTTCTTTTACAGCTATGTTTCTTGATTACAAAGTTTTACTATGATTATCTTGTTTGCGCATGGATTGATAATAACTAAAAAAAATTAGACTAAAGCCCCCCCCCCCCCCTTTCCCCTCCCCCAATGTGATTTGTGCTAAATACCCAAAAAAGTAAAACCTGATGTAAACACCGTTTAATATTTTATTTTTTACATGCAAGTAAGGTAAATGGTATCAAAGGAGCCAGAAGCAAACTGGTGATGGGGAGGGGTGGGGTGGGGTTAGATCTGTAGTAGGAAAACAGGTTATTAAATACAGGAGTAAGCACCCCAATTCCTTCCTCCTGTTCTTAAAACTTTTAACGTAGTCTAGAATCCCTAAACACTTGAAGGTTTGATAACTAAAATAATCACATATGTATGTATATATATATATATATATATATATATATATATATATATATATATATATATATATATATATATATATATCTATCTCTCTCTCTCTCTCTCTCGATATATATACAAAACAAAAACAAAAAAAACAAAGTTCTGTTGGAGATATTTTTTCTGTGTCTATTGGGGAAGAATAAATATTTTATCATTGATAGCGGCTGTCTGTTTTGTATTACAAATGATTGAATCTTTCAATATTTTTAACCATGGGCATTTCCAAATAATTGATTTTCATGATGTTGCGGCAAATTTTAGGCCTATTGTTGACGAACGGAGGAAATGCGGTAGGTGTCAAATACGTCTTGTGTAGCGTATAAAAGAACGAAGATATACAAACCAAAGTCAAATACGTCTTGTGTAGCGTATAAAAGAACGAAGATATACAAACCAAAGTAAAGTCAAGGATTTTTTTTTATGCATACCGATTTGATTTAATGAAATAAAGCCCAGCACAGTCCGTAGGTATTATTTGTTCAAAATTAGCGAGGTACACAAACTCTATTTAGTACCACAGAGTTATCTCCCACGCTGGATCAATGATGCGTTTGAAAACTATATTTAGAATGATTGTCTTAAGATTTCAATTTTTAATCAAAAAGTACAAGGGCAAGGCGACAACCCAAGAGGTAGGTTTTTATTTTAATTTCTTTACTTTACCGTATAATTTTTAAAAAGTGATGCTCATTTCTTTGTAATTCATTAAGGAATTAAAAATTTCCGGTTAAATGATGAAAAATACCCCATTTTTGAATACTGGTGTTTGTTTTCAAGGAATAACTTAAACATCTCAGAAATCTGTCTGAATGAGACTTTTTTTTATTGAGCATCAGTTTTTCGATAAGACACAACGAAACATTGTACAGTTCAAATATTGTATGCCTTGCCCTTGCACTTTTTGGTTAAATTTGACATTTCATATTTTGACCTACAATCAGAGCTCACGTGACTGTAGAGGGTCACATGATGACAAAAAAATACCGATGTGAAAAGCGATGGACCAACTCTTCATAAAGCCATTAAGATATTTCAGATAGAGTTTCATGCTAAAAAAAGACGGATAAACTTTAAGTGTCTCGTTTTTGGTGCCTTTTTATAAAAATGTTGCCTTAACTGTACTGCGCTGTAAATATTAGAGGATAACCAAGTTCAAAAGACCAAGGGTAACTAAATCATAAATCTGAGCGAAAAAGTAAACAAGGAGTAATTGACAACACTCCACGGTCCCACCCACGTCTCCGAAAAAAAAAAAGAAAACTGTGACTATTCAAGAAGCCTATTTTGTGCGGAGGTGGAGGGATTAGGACATGGTGTTAGAATTGGGACATTTTCGGGGAGAATAAAATAATATAAAATATTTAATATTGTGTGCAGTCAACATAACTATGGCGGCATGAACTCAATATTTTGTGCCCCTTTCCTAGTTTTTCACCTTATAAATTCAAAACATTAATTACAGGTGGAAGTGGAAGATACACAGTTATTATACCACACGAGCAGTTAAAAATGCTATACGATTTAAATTTTACTACCACACAAATGGCAGAAAAATTTGGATGCTCACTATCCCTCATTTATAAAAGGCTAAAGGACGAAGGCTTAAAGTGTCTGGGAAGTAGATGATAAAGTGGTATTATATATTTTGTTTAAGTATTAAAATATCTAGAAAAGCAAGTTTTTCCAACAAAGTCGATTTTATGAAGGAGATATTGCCAAAAAACTGAAAATTTTAAAAATATACACCTTTACGATACCGAAAACGAGGCTATTCCTAGCTAAAACGGAAGTGACGTCACAACACATCAGTTTTCGCCATTTTTAGAAAGTCTTCTATTGACCTGTGCGTGTTTTCCGGCGAATAATGGCCAGCAAAAGTGTCGGACGCATGTGTGTTGTAGCGGGATGCAGCAAAAGACAGTCAGATGGCGTGTCGGTTCATGTTTTCCCCAAAGATGAGCGACTGCGAGCGGCCTGGTGTCGTTTTGTGAAGCTGACGAGGGCAGACTGGTCTGGTCCTTCGAAATACACCGTTATCTGCAGTGACCATTTCAACGAGGATTGCTATGAGGTACATTTCTCGCTCATGAAGGACTTTGGGATCCCAGCGAAGAAGCGTCTACGCCAGGGGTCCATACCAAGCATATATCCCAAGCGGAAAAGAGACCAACTGAACGATGCGTTCCTGGAGTCTCCCCATGTAAACACCCCTACTCCAGTACGAGGAGCCCATGCAAAGCGTGAGAGGAATAGGGTTAGTTTTTTTTGTTCTATTCTATTTTGTTTTAATCTATAAATGGTGGTGATTCGATAATAAAAAAATATTAACTTCAGAAATTTGTAGACTTTTGGTGAGAAAATTCGGAATAAGAAAAAAGACCTCATCTGCACTAAAAATGCTTTCATGTTCTTTGTTTGTTAAACAGAAAGTAAATTACACTGGGTATTCACTGAAATATCTTAAACTTATTCAAATTTATATTATTTGTTTGTGTTAAAATTTGTTCATTATTTTATCGCAGGTATTGGCAGAGCTGCTTCATGACAACACAGAGGTTGAAGAAATACAGGAAGAGTCGCAAGACCAGGATGAATGTGTTGGGATCCAAACAACGCCTGTTCCCTTTCCCACACCTGTTTCGGTATGTTATAACATATTTAAGAACCCAAAAAAAAAAAAAAAAAAAATAGAGAGAAATGTGTAAATTGTTACATTCCTTGCACCTTAGCTTTATATAATTATGTTTACACAATATATGTACATGTAGTACTAAACCAACTGAAAAGAAAGAATGATTTTATTAAATTTTCTCTTCTTATTCCACATGCTGATGCATCTTTTATTTATCTTTTTTTAAGGCCATTATTTAAAAAAAAAAAATCCTAGATTCTCATCTAATTCTGTCTCAATTTCTTTTCTGTTAAATTCTTCATCTTGATTCCGATTGGGATCGGTATTCAACTTGCTATTCAACTTTCGGTTCTAAGTCCCATGAGGACCATGAATGTAAGAATGATTTTTACAACTGATAAGTTGGTTATTACTGTATTGGGTATTAAACAAGGATAGATTGGTGAGGATCCGATGTGTAGTAAGAGATATGTTTATTTAAATTGACATCTCCTATGACTTTTGTTTGGGCATAATTAAGATAACTCTGCACAGATTGATTAGGTCAACAAAAATATACGAAATAAAAAATGTAGTATAAATTTGTCAGCTTGCCTCGTTTAAGAAAAAGTTCAATGATTATTTTGTTAAATATAAATGATGTTATCATGCATCTTGTGCATTATTCACAATATCATGAAGATTTATTCAGTTCAGATATAAGATTAAAAGAGATGGTTATTACATTCTTCATCGCTGTGTTCTTCTGAATTTAAATTACTTGACCCTAAATAAATAATAACCAAATCTAAATTTCCTGCTTAACATGTCCACAATACTAGACTCTATGCAAATAAGTCCATATGTGTATGAGTAAACTATTATGAAATAAAACAGAAACTTGCACTTGTTCTAAATTTAGTGAAAGGAAGAAAAAATTGTACTATTCATACGAGTATTATTAAAGAAAAGAGATAAAAATATTGCTGTAAAGTATGCAGGCCACAATTATACTTCTACGGATTACTTATAAATCTTTTTTCTGTTCATTTTAGGAGGAGAAAAGTGTGTCTATGGCATGTCAGACAGAATCAACACGAAAACGTAGCGTAAAGATTCAAGTTGCTGCAAGGAATAAGGAAAAAGGTACTTATTCGAAGTAACTTGTTGCAACATAAGATAATAATATGTTGTAATTGTCATTCTTTATTCTTTGATTATTACTGCAATATACCTGGTACTCTCAATCTGATTCCCCATGGCTAGTTTGGCTTTTTTTTAAAAAACATTTATTATATTAGAACATGTACATTTATGGACTATGACCCCTAAGCTGGTATTGAAAGACATACGAGGGGTTATCAAAAAGTTCGTGGACTAGCGCCATAAAATTAAAACCGCTTGAGGTACATCAATGAATATTTAAACTATAAATAAGCATCATTTTTTCTATCTATAAAATATACTATGTATCATAAGTTTTATTTTTCAATGAATTGTTGATGTTTTTGTAAGCAATGGTATGTCCAAGCGGCGCAACCTCCAACATGACGTATTTTCTACCTGAGTGTTACTGAGAAAAACTCTTTTGAAAAGAGCATTTGTCATCCGAAAGTCCCATACATTCACTCATGTGATATGACACAATTGATTCGTAAAAGTTGCAATTTCTACCTCATTCTGTAAGTTCTATGAAGTTTTATGGTATAATCTTTATATGGAATGTTCGAACAATCAAAGGGTTAAAAATGACGTCAAAAAGGGGGGGGCGTCATTTTCCAACATTCTATAAGGTTTCAGCCCCGAAAAAACGGGCGTAGACCTAGAAAATGTTTAAACGGGCTACAGAGAAATAAAATGCATCCAGAGTACTTGTTTCTTAATTCCAAAACAGTTCCAACTAGAGAAGAGACGCACAATTAATGTCGATTTGTAGTCAGGGTGTCCAAAGTCAGTCACGCCGAAAAGTGACGTTAATTATGTGAGGTAGACATTGAACTCCGAGAAGCAAATTATGCTGGCATACTCAAGCGAGGACCTTTTCCTATGTAAAGTTTTATTTACATTATTAATGCATTGAAATTAGCTGTTCATGACATTGTAAAGTCATATAAATAAGACGGGTTTAGGTTTTTACTTAACTACACTTAATCTCATCAAGATAAGTGTATTGAGACAGAGGGAGCAAACAATGAGAAATAATGACGTTGTCCGACGTTATTGAATTCAATGGCGAAAGCGCCGGGTGATCATACAATGTCTTTTTTATTTGATGATAATTTGGCAAATTATTAACGTATTAAGCTGAAATTTTCAACACTTCTTTAACTTTTATTGTTTTATGTACCTTCTTAATTTTGTAATCAACGACGACATAGTAATAATTTTATCGCATCAGTCCACGAACTTTTTGATAACCCCTCGTACATTCAGGGATTATTACATATTTACTCATTGATGATTATTATAACTGAATTATATTATGTAGTATCGTTTATATACCCCCTTTCACCATTTCTTTTTAAATTTTGAAAAGAGAGGAAAACATTTAACTTATCAGTACCTAATTTCGTGTGTAGTATTCAATTTTAAAAAATTGCAAGTTCATATGCATAAGACTAATTAGATCATTGTTCTTCCTCCTAAATATAAATTTTAAGAGAAAAATCTTGTTTTCTCACAATGACATATAATGTTTATATGTAATTTGTTAGGATTACAAGTTGACCTACAACCCAGAGTTCGAAGCATTGGTATTCAGGTTGATGTACGAGATGATTTGCCTGCTCCACGTCCACCTCCAGCACCTGTTCCTGTTCCTGATTCCTCTAGTGGTGAAGAGTCTATCCAGACGGAGAATGAGACTGCCTCATTGTATGAACCTTCTGGCACTAGTTCAGATGATTCTCATGTACAGGATATCAAGTAAGTGATTAGGCTATGGTCATTGATCAGTTACCTAAGAATTGCTTCAAAAAGTTTACTATGAAGAGAAAATGAATATGTTAGCCTCAATTCTTTTGGCAATTTTTATTTCCCTGTAATTAATTTAATCTTTTAAAAATTGTAGCACTGAAGCACCCTGCAACCCCTTGGAAGACAGGAAGTTTATCATCTCCGAAACCAAGCTGCTTGAGCTGTTCAGTAACTGCAGGAGGTGCCACAAGTATACAGCAGCAAGTGTACAGCAGGTGCTTGGAACAATGGTGAAGATTGCTGTGGAGTGTGAGTTCTGTGGGTTTACCTGGCAGTGGAGCAGTCAGCCATTCATTGGGAATATTCCTGTTGGGAACATTGGGTTATCTGCCGCCATACTGTTTTCTGGTGCCCTTGTGTCCAAAGTTCTTCGTGTGCTGAACTGCATGGGGGTTGCAACCATTACCAGAAGAACATTCAATTCCCACCAGTCAGCCATTTTGTTTCCTGTAATTGCTCGTGTGTGGGACAAGCACCAGCAGGAGTATGCAAGTCGAGCTTTGGAAAGAGGAGATCCTCTGGTTATTGGTGGAGATGGGCGAGCTGACTCCCCTGGTCACTGTGCAAAGTTTGGCTCGTACAGCACCATTGACCTTGAGGAAGGAATTGTCATTGATATCCAGCTGGTTCAGGTAAACAAGTTATTTCGATAAATATCTGCACTTTTTATTTAAATTAAAGATGAACTGTTTTAAAAAAAAAATATTATTTTATCATTATTTTAAATAAAACTATCACTCAAACACTGCTGAAAAGATTCAACAAAGTATACATGAAAATAAAATGCTAAAAAGGATCTAATGAGGGGAAAAAATGTGTACTAACTTTAGGTGTTTGGTTGAAGTTTTGTGAAGTTAATGAAATCTGATTAAATTTTGTAGAGCAATGAAGTAAAAAACAGCTTGGGAATGGAGAAGAAGGGATTAGAGCGGACTATTGCCTGGATGAAAGACCAAGATTTGGAGATTGGTACGATAGTGACTGACCGCCATGTCCAGATACAAAAGTGGATCAGGGAGAACTTGACGGAGACGACACACTATTATGATGTTTGGCATGTGGCAAAAGGTATTCTTTTTCTTTTCTTTCTTTACCAGTATTTGAATTGTATGTATTTAAAGACATCTTTGTACAGAATCAACATTAGCTGATGTTTAACTTTTATAATGACTTCTACTGAGTTATCTCCAAAGTTATTATTAACATGTATGATTTAAAAAGTTATGAATGTAAAAGATGAAATGAAGCAGTTAAATTATGATTTTTATATGCCCATCTTAAGATGGGACATATTAATTTTACTCTGTAAACATGGCTTCCAAAATATTTTCAGGTCTAAAGAAAAAGATCCTAGCTGCATCCAAACAGAAGGAGTGTGGGAATCTTGCCAAATGGATCAAGAGCTTGACCAACCACTTGTACTGGGTGGCAGCTTCAACACCTGATGGGAATGGGGACTTCATGTGGGCAAAGTGGGAGTCTGTGGAAAACCATATCCACAATATTCATGAGGGCCACAATGACCTCTTCCCATCTTGTGCCCATGACACGTTAGAGGGTGATGAGCAGAAAAAGAAGTGGATAAAACCAGGTAAAACCTTATTTTAGAATTGATAAATAATTATTACTTTCTGTATTGGCAAATTTCATAACTGCCTTGTTAAAGGGAAAAATCCTGTACAATAAGTATACATTTTGTTTTCATAAAGGAACAAAAGCCAGTGAGAAGATTTGCGATATTATCCTGTCCAATCAGATGAAGAAAGATATACCCAAGCTGTCCCCACTGCACCAAACATCCCAGATTGAGGCTTTCCATAGCACTATCAATCACTTTGCCCCCAAGATGGTTTCCTTCTCTTATCATGGCATGTACTGCAGGTATGCTTACACAGTAATATTGGATATTTTTTTATATCATTTCTTATTTAAATTTCTACAATACAGAAAGCAGATGGAGATTTTATTTATTGTAATCTACAAGGTTAAAAATTTTATGTAGGTTGATGGTTGCTGCTCTCCATTTTAATGAGAACTCTTCAAGAATGCAGGCAGTTACAAAGGAGGGAAACCTGCAGTACAAGATCAGCTTTCCCAAGTTCAAGCATGGCGAATATAGTGTTCGCATGAAGACTGTAGATTCAACGTTTGGTAAGATGCTTTTATTAACGCACCTAAAAAAAAAAAAAAATTGTAAAAGTCCCTCCTCATTTAAAAATTGAACAACCAAAAAAAAAATGTATATATAAATAACAAAATATGTTGAATTTAATTTTATTCAATACCAAGCAAAACACGAGAATGATACTTGTATTTATCAACAGAGATAGAGTCCTCAATATTTTACAAATTTTAAATATTGTCTATGCATTTCAGGGTATGCATCTGATTTGATGACAGAGACTCTACGATACGTTGAGGTATCATCCCGGACACCAGCACCCGCCTTTCCACCTGCGCTCTGTTTGCCTCAGTTGCAACCACCTCCTCTGTGCAGTGATTTTCTTCACCCTGAAAAGGAGGAAGCAGTGTTTAATTTCCAGTCTCGGTTTGGGAGGAAGGAGACATCTGTGTAGGAGATTCTAGCCCTTGTATACATAGAACTGTAAATATCAGTTGTAGATACTCATGCTGTAGTTTGTCATAGTCTGTTTGTAAATAATTGTATAAATAGTGTTATAGTTAGCATTTACTTGTAAATTTGCATGTAGGAAAACAAAAATAAAATTGCAAAAAAAAAAAAAAAATGGGAACAAAAAAAGCAGGGTCCACGTCCCGTTCCTGGGTGCAAAAAAAATTGTTTACCTATGTAATCAAGATTTTTTCTGTAGCTGATGCTTTTATAAATTTTATTGTAATATGTACATGAGGCTTATGTTTTGTCAATTATTTTGAACTGCTTTTTGCTTGTATGTGTGACTAGGCAAGGTTGTTTTCTGTATCCTATGCTTAACCATTTCTCATTTATAAGATTTATGCTGTGTAAACTTTATATTTATTTAATTTGTAAAATTGATAGTAAAAGTTGATAATATGGTGAATTTTTGTTAATCCAAAATATAGAAGTGGCTTACTCATTCAGGGTCTCTGAATCCTTGATACTCTTCAGAACTGAAGGAATGGTGTATCTTTGTAACTGCACAAGAGGGAAGTGGGACACGAACACTCTTCCCCAAGTAGCCCCAACACCAACGAACAAGCTGACGATATGCTGTATATCTGTTTCTTCTGTAATTGAATAAAAGAAAATCATGTTATCATGCACTTGTTATTACTTGTGATAGTCTTTGTGATTTTCTTCAAATGCTTTATTTCATTTTTGGAACAAATATGTAAAAATTCAATAAAATGTCTTACTGTTCAATGGTCTTTTGCAATTCCCCATACTGGGAACGATACTGATAATAGGCTGTCTCCAAGACGTAGATGTCGAGACAAACAGATTGGAATCCAGGGTGTTCTGTAATGCAAGGCAATTCTTTCTGATAAGATGTTCTCTTTTCATCAATCCTGGTGATTTCAGTGCAGCATATACTTTCTCTGAGTGTGGGTTTCGGAGTACAGAATCCACAAGTGCACCTACAATATTCAAACATGATTACATGGAAGTTATATTAGACACATCTTCGCAAGACAAGGGTTTTCGGTCCACTTTTCTCCCCGCGAAGCAGACCGAAAACCCTTGGCTTACGAAGATGCATTAGACATAATGATTATTTATCAACTTTAATCTTTAAAAAAAAAATACTCCAGAAGACCCATACATGTAGATAATGTGCATAGAGCAATACAGTTTTTGTTTTCAACTTATCATCAGGTATAAAGCATGGCCGTAGGAAGGGGGGGGGTTGTCCCCCTCAAATAATTTTGCCGATATCTAGATTACTATAGAAAACATAGCTACTATATGCTTGTTGCTTGTGCCCCCTCAATGAAAACGTCTGATGACCTGTTTTTTTTGCTTGTCAAGGAATTTTGGTAGTTGATAGTGCCCCCCCCCCCCAACTGAAAATGTTCAGCTGTGCCCCCCCCCCCCCCCCCCCCAACTGAAATTGCTTCCTACGGGCCTGTAAAGGGGCAAAATTTTATTCTCAGAGTTAGAGGTTCTGACAAATTTAGTTGTCATCTTAATTTTCTGCCATCGCAGAAAAAAAAAACATGTCCAAACTCCATGACTATAGAGACCAGAAAAGTTGACAAGCTACAAAAAAGTAGTAAACTCTTTGGGCGTGTATATACCACTTTTCAAGATCAGATTAATTATTTCCTTCTCATTGAGACAATTTTCAAGAATAGATCTAAATCTGCTAGCCCATAAGATTCAAATGGTCGTCCCGAACGAATATTCAGCCATGTTGCATGGGTGTAATTTACATGGCCTCATTTCTCGCAACATTTGGCTTATATAGTAATATTTTTATTAATTATTATTCGTTCAGACCATGCGAAATTCTATGAGTATAAAATATATATTTTTCTTTGTATTATACCAGAGAGTTTTAACGTGAAAGTCATACCAGTCCGTATTGCCGAGCCGCTGTGGGTTGTCGACATCGTCCTCACTTTAGCCATCAGATTCACTAGAATCACTCGCCTCAGGTTCAAATCGATAAGGGGCTACATTCTGGAAATGTTCTTCTTGTGTTTCTTCGAAGGATGAGGCCTCAAACGACATATGTAGGTCGATATCGGACGCAGAATCGGAGGCTTCGCTGTTGTTGTTTGTACTCGCCATTTTGAACTTGATGTGATGTGACGTCATGCGGGGTTTTTCGCTATTTATGGTAAAACCGGAAGTAGCGTTGATTGGTTTTAGACAGGTGCGAGAACCGCCTACTTTAACCCGGAATATCTCCGTTATCGTTGCGAATCTGACTGTAAAACTTACGGAATGTTTTTATTATACAATTCTACGTATTTTAAAACTAGCATTATTTCATACTTCCCAGACACTTTAAAACTTTAAAGGGATCGTTACAGCAATATCAGCGATGCAGATTTAGACTCCAAAGTTAGCCTGCTTCAGACGAAATTTCCAAATGCTGGATCTGTAGTAAGTCACGTTGTTCACTTTAATGTAATACGATACAGTCGGAATTTAAGACCCCCCCCCCCCCCCCAATTGTGAATATCTTGAGATTTTTGAAGACACACTCATTTTTTTGTTGATTACCTCCCCTTCAAAGAGGACATGTCCTTTAAACAAACTTGAATCCCCTTCACCCAAGGATGCTTTATGTTAAGTTTGGTTGAAATCAGTGGTTCTGGAGAAGTTAGACAGTTGGAGAAGTTGACAGATGGATGGACAGTTTCTATGCTGTTTTGAAACATTTTAACTGGAATTTAAATTTTTTTCAGATGTCGAGTGGTATGTTGCAATCAAGTTCAGAGTAAAAGAGTAAGGGAAAGCATAAATAGAACAAGTCCTTTTCCTGTCGTACACAGATTAACAAAGACTGTGAAGCGCAGGAGATACTCTGTTCCAACGAGCAATTCATACTGGCATATAGATGGCCACATGAAGCTGATAAGGTATATCCATTGTTTATCAATTGTTTTACTGGCTGTGTTAACCTTGACTTTCCAGTTAAAATATGCAAAGCCTTATAATGCATCTGGCACCCCCCAATTGTCAATTTCTGTCATTTTAAGTGGTGGATTCAATCCATATCTTTTAAACAGATGGGGAATATCAACACATGGTGGAATCGATGGTTTTAGCCGTCTTGTAGTTTTTTTTAAAGGCAGACACTGATAACAGAGCATCAACAGTCAAATTCCCTTGTCTTTATCACCAGTAGCAAATCAATTAGTATTTGTTGCAAGTTGTCTAGTCAATTTTCAGGAACCTCTTGTTAAATGATGTGTACCAACAAGAAACAAATAAATGAATTCATACAATTTATTGTGAAGAAGCTCATTTGAACTTTGTACATTCACCCTTCTACATTAAATATTCTATTAATGTACTACTGAAATTCTTTATTACACTCAAGTTTCTAAATGTAATTATTATTATTGAACTAAGTTCAGCATTGAAACAGTCAAGATTCATTGTTTTTTCTTTAAAGACTTTTGAGGAGGGATTCTTGTCTGGTTTCTGACTAGATGAAATATTCAAAGTATATTTGCTTATATGTTTTATATATTTAGATGTAAGAGATATAAAAGAAAATATTTTTCTTTCCTCATCACAATTGTACAACTTTAAATAGAAATGGTAAACAGAGTTTGAAATCTAGCAGGGACTATATTTTTGGCGGAATGGCGGCGTATGAAAATACCTTCTTTTCTGCCTTCTCTCTCTACGTACCCGTTTACCTCATTTTTATCCAAAGCAATATCGGCATAAAACCTTGATTGTTTGGGCTACAAATCCCACTCCTTTCGTATTGGAGCAAGTACGGAATTGGCTTTAAATGGGTTTTCATCTCAAGTTATCCAATCCTCAGGGAGATACAAATCGAATTGCTGTAAAACCTACATACGTATTCCAAGATTTTAATTAACCCAGAGTTATTATTTCAGATTCTCAAGACGTATGGTTGTTTGGGTCATCAATTATTAAAAGGGTTTTTGCAGAAACTAAGAATTCCCTCCTTTCGTAATGTTTGCTTATACGAGTTATCGTTCCTGCGGGACGGTATGTAAACTTCCAGTAAAGAGTTGCATAGCGCCATATTCCAAACGATGCGATGGAACCACTTCGTAATGAAGGCTTACACTTGCCGTTATCATTCAATACCACGGTGGAAGACATACTTAATTATCAGAAATCTCAAATACAAACATTTCTGCGAGTAAATCACATAAAAGTGAGTGGCAACAAGCTAGAACTCGCCCAACGTGTAGTGAAGGCTATAAAGATCGTTCGTGCACGACGCCCAGTCAAATACCCCCACATCAATCGTGTCAAACTTCAGATGTACCTGTACCAGATATAAAGGACCTGCATTCAGGTTGGGCAGGTAAATCGGATATGTTTCCCAACATTAAAATTCAAGATGTGGAGAATTATTTGATCCACAGTAGCCACAGGACTGTCGATGCAAAGAAAATGCAGTGCTATAGACAATATATTAGAGGATTAAATTTTTTCAAAGAGGGCTACATACATAAGATTATGATGAATGAGACAGCGAGTATTGCTCGCTGACAGCGAGTATTGCTATATACGATCAAAATGCTATCCTTCAATGAAGCAGGGTGTGGATGAGCAGTGGATCCTAATGACAAAGAAACCCCCTTTTCAAGTCCAGAAAGCAAGTTGCACGTGCCAAGCAGAGTATGAATCACCAGTATTAACTAAATGAAAATCACTTTCTTAAATGATATAAATATGCCAAATTAAAATTATGAAATAAATGAATTATTTCTCTCATTATTTATTTAATTATGCATGCATTCATAAAACAATAATTCTAAAAATGAACACTTCAATTTAATTTTTGATATCTCGGTGAATAGCATTATTTTATCAAATTGATAAATGTTATAAACTCTCATAGCTGATATGAATCCATGTATATGATTATGTTATGTATTTGCAGCCTTGGTGAAGGATGTACCCATGTTGCTGGACTGTTGTTTGCCCTGGAAGGACGCCCTGTGACAGACGATGATGTTCCATGCACTTCAAAGCCTTGTGAGTGGAATCGACCCAGCAAAAGAAAGAAAGATACAAAACCTGTGAAAGACATGAGTTTCAAAAAGATCAAATTATCTTGAGAAAATGTAAAGAATAAAAAAAATTGTGAATTATAAAGTAGATAGCATAAAATTTAGAAACTCATTGTGTGCAAAACTTGGAAATAACTCACGTGCTGCTATTTTTTACATTCTTCCCCCATGTGCTAATAACAATATTGATGTACAAAGTGACCGCAATATTGCTCATTTTCAAGAAGTATAGACTAGTGACCACATTCTTCACCTTTCTGACAAATATATTGCGTTACACAAAACTGTTAAAGATGAAAATATGTCTCAATCTGACTTTCTGACTTATATCCACATGCAGTCAAGAAATAGTTGGTGAAATTGAAGTTCGAACTAAAGGGCAACATAACAATCCTTTGTGGGTTTTAGCTCGAGCAGCTCTTTTAACAGCTTTAAATTTTCATGAAATTAAAACAAAAAAAGACTCCACAAAATCGGAAAATATCATATGTAGACTCTTGGGTCAGGGTAAACCTTTAGAAAATAGTGCTGTGCATTGGGGGATTAAGCAAGAACCCATTGCTAAAAAAAGGTACATAGCTTACATGACATTGAAGAAAAAACAGAATGTCATTGTTGAAGATATGGGGCTGGTTTTGTATACGCATTGCTCTTACTTAGGTGCAAGCCCTGATGGCTTAGTGAAGTTTGAAACACACAAATATCTTTTGGAAGTAAAGTGTCCTTTTAAATGGAGACAGTGTACTATTTTAGAAGCGTGCAAGGATAAAACATTTTGTTGTTATATTGATGATACCAATACAATTCAGTTAAAGAAAAGTCATAAATATTATACCCAGGTGCAGGGTCAAATGGGTGTATTTCAAATGGAGAGATGTGATTTTGTTATTTATACGATCAAAGACTTTTTAGTCATTCCCATCCAATTTGACAACTCTTTTTGGGAATCATTACTCATAAAGCTAAATAAATTTTATATTGAAGAGCTCTTTCCAAAATTGAAAAACTAAGACGAAGTTTTATGAGCCTTCGAATTGCATCATTTTGTGTAAAATGATAAATCATAGTGTATGCATATATCCAGTGTTTGATTTCCTTTAATATCATGTGTCATTTGACAATATTGACATTGGTGAACCACGTTTTCATCCTTAATGACAAAGCATGAGTGTAACTTCAATAACTGGTGATGAGAGAGTTTACAGTTTTAGTACACTTATCTTCTTTGTATAATTGTTTAAAGATCTGTTTTACATCAGATATACAATGCATATACATTATTCACTGTATTTCTGTAAATATTAATTACTTATATATACCATACTTTTAAATGTATAAAATTGTTAAAGCTGAACACTACTCATAAATAAATACAAGCACACTGTTATAAAACCTGTATATTTGATGTTACTTTTCCCCTGGCTTAAAATAAGTGCATAAAGTTTGATAATTCCATCCTGACAGAATAACATGGCAATGCAAAGTGTGTGTCCACACAGGTGAGACATGCGCAGCAAAGAACTCTAAACTGTTTAAAGAGGTCTGGACTTGTGCAAGGGGTTAATTGTAGGGATAGTGTAATTATCAAGCACTGGTCAAGGAGAATTTGATAACAGAAAATTGCATGTCAAATTAGAGAGAAATTAATGAGATTAGTGTGAGGAGCTAACTGGTAGAGCATCTCTGATCAAGCAGGTGTTATCTATATCTCTTGGGAACTGGGCAAAAAGAATCAGCCCTGTTGGATTAAATAGTTGGCTATCCTAACTTTTAAAATGAATTTAGTGAAAAGTAATTAAAACTTATTTGATATTGTATAATAAATTAATTTGATATTGTGTAATAAACTAATATGATATTGTATAATATAATTAAAACTGATTATACTTGGGGGGGGGGGGGGTATTGGAATCAGCATGCCTGCTGTCTGTATGAATTGCAGTTTAAAACCAGTCTGACATTAAATCTAAAAAAAAAAAAATCAAGTGCATGTATTTAAAAAAATGTTTTAATTATGGTAGAGAGTCCCTGCAAATCTAAGAGTAATGCAGGAACCTTATTAAAAATGTTACATCAAGATTACACACGTTTTTTTTTTCTTTTTATAAATCTTTGTAACAAATTAAAAAAAATCTTTATTTTCAAATTTAATATCAGAATGACATAAATATGCATTTTTATTGCACTACAAAGCAGATAGTATGTATAGATTCATTCATCCCTTGGGAGTAGTGAGTGGACATGCATCCAGTTAAAGATTAATTAATGAGTTCAGTGTAGGAAGGCTAGCTGTCTCAATCATCTGATCATTTCTGTTAGAGGATCTCTGATCAATCAGCTCTTATCTGTATCCTTTGGGAATTAGACAGAACTGCTTGTTAGTTTATAGCATATGTCATTTGATGGCCAGCCTTTTATTTTAGCCTTTTATTTTTAATTTTAATTTGATATAAATTAAGTTGTTAAGACTTAATTGATATTGTTTAATATGATATTTTTATTTAATTTTTTGAAAATATCAACTAATTCAGAGCATCATGTCTCACAAATCTGAAAGCTGGAAGGGGGGGGGGGAGGGCTGCAGATGGGCATTTGTCAAGCTCTAACACAGCCATTTGAGGATCTATGATGTAATATTTGTTATTGTAGTGGCGCCGGAATTGATTCCGGAGTTGGTTTGATTAATAGTTTGTTTACAGTTTGTTCCGGCATAAACCATGCTTGTTTTTTCCTACAAAAATTGATTTGTATTTTGGTGTTTGTGCCCCAAAAGAGTAAGTACACTGTGTATAGTTATCATTTGTCATGTAATTAATTATAAAACATAATGCTTTCATGTTGTTAGTGATGCTCATGCCTGTTTTCATGATTTGAAATGTGCGTTGATATTTTGTTCGAGTATGGCGTGCCGTGAATGTCATTATTTCGATGTTTTGATATTAAGCGATTATAATGTGTTAATCTTATACTGTCTTGTGAGATTATATTATGTAATTAATGTTGTCCCCACATGTATGTTTCAGTTTCCACCCTCGGTGAGAGAGGTTTGTAAGTTTGACCAATAAACTTGCGTCGTGAACACACTTACAGTGGAAATCTTGGGCACAGCTTTCTTCACTCTCTCTTTTCACTATGGCTGATGGATCTACTAAAGAGGTTTCAAATCCTGAGAAGACCCACGACTTACGGAAAGACAGAGAGCTCACTGAATTTGGATCTGAACAATATATTCAGACTGTTATATCATATTCAAAGAGGCTATCACAGTCCCAAGGCGAAATTGATAACATTTGTGAGTTTGTCGCAAAAAATCCAGTACATCTTAGAGATGTGAACAGCATCATAAACAAATTGGAACAACATATCAGTGAGTTCGCGAAATTATGTTCCAAATTCTCTACTTACCTGAGTACCCTAAGAACATCAGACAGTATTCAAGAGAATGCTAAGTGGAAAGCAGTTTTGGATAGTACAAAGACTAAAGTACATGATGTTATCAAGCGTATTAAGGTTCCAAGAAAGTCTTTTTCTATGACAATGTCTGGGCGACTCAGTCAGCACTCCAAATTATCAACCTTTCTCTCACAGGAAGGCACAAAACAACTAGGTCAAGCTGTGTTGAAACATTCAGAACGCCTCTCTACAGCCAAGGCTCGCCTCAAGTTTGCAGCAGAAGAAGCCGCACTTCTCAAACAGGAAGCAGAGCTCAACGCAAACAAGATGATTCTTAGCACAAAACGTGAAGTTGAAGAAGCCAAATGTAATCTTGAAGCGTTATACGATATGTCAGATCTGGGAGGAAGCTATGTTCCACCATCCGTAGTCGAAGACAATCCATTCGAAGCTGAAATAGGACTTCAGCGCACAGAAGCTTACGTTGACTCGCAACAAGGTGATACGAGTTCCCCAAGTCAAGACCATCCTCCTGCCGAGGATGGAAGTGAATCTAGATTACCCCAGAGGCAGTTGGACATTGAAACAGAACATTTTAACCCCCAAGTCAACACAGCAGAACCAACATCATATTTTGGTCCCTCTGCGAACAGTGTCCAAGCAAACATCCCGAATACTACACAGTTCAATCAGCAAACACCTCAGATTGGGCATACTGACATGAACACATGCTCAGAGTTTGCTAAAGTCTTTGCCAAGAAGGACTTAGTTTCAAAGATACACATCTTTGACGACAATCCAGAGAACTTTTCATCATGGAAAGCCTCATTCAAAAATGCAGTGAAGGAACTAAGTCTCACACCCATGGAGGAGATGGACTTGTTAGTGCAGTGGCTTGGAAACACCTCATCAGCGACCCAGGCAAAGAGCATCAGAAATGCTAATGCATCAAATCCAGACCGTGGGTTACAGCGTATATGGGATCGTCTTCATGACCGCTTTGCCAATCCAGAGGTTGTTGAGTCCGCCATCAAGAGAAAACTCGCCAAGTTCCCTAAGCTAGGAAACAAAGACAATACAAAGTTATATGAACTCTTTGACATTGTGTCAGAAATTGACTCTTTAAAGGAAAACCCTGTCTACTCAACATTGCTCGCTTACTTCGATTCATCATCAGGTGTGAATCCCACTGTGGCCAAGTTACCTCATTACATCCAAGAGAAATGGGTGACGGAAGCAACAAACTACAAGTTGAGAACCGGACATTCATATCCCACATTTCCTGTGTTCGTGGCATTCTTGGAAAAGATCACAAGTATGAAGAATGACCCCAGTCTACAGTTTGACACCTTACATGACGCTAACAGAAGTGAACAGCAGAAAGTGTACCCAGTAAAGCTGCAAGGCCGTAAGAGCAACCCTACTGTGACTGCATTTAAAACACAAGTACAGAGCTCTGGAACTTTATTTAAAGACATTGCTTCTACGTTGGACAGGTGCCCTATTCATGAAAACTCTAAACATACACTAAATGAGTGTCGTTCATTCCGCGCCCGACCATTAGATGAGCGGAACACATTCATAAAGGAAAAGGGCTACTGCTTTCGTTGCTGCGGGCCAAAGAAGCACATAAGGTCAAAGTGTAATGAGCCTGTCCTATGTTCTGTTTGTAAAGGCTCTGATCACCCATCAGCCTTGCACAAAGATCCTGATATCACCTCAATGGCTGTGGAAACCCATGAGGGGGAGAGGCTACCAGTTGTTAGTTCCAGCTGCACTCAGATCTGTGGGAAGCCATTCAATACCAGCAAGTCATGTGCAAAGATCGTGAAAGCCCTTGTGTATCCAAAGCAGGAACGTGACCTTGCTAGATATATCTACTGCATCATTGATGATCAAAGCAGCAACACTCTCGCCACCTCCAAGTTCTTTGATTGTTTCCATGAATATGGTCCAGACCACCTGTACACACTGAAATCATGTTCCGGTGAATCTGTGAACAGTGGACGTAAAGCATGTGGATATGTGATAGAGTCCTGTGATCGATCACAAGTGTTTAGACTACCAGATATCATAGAGTGCAATGAGATTCCACAGAATCGCAGTGAGATACCATCTCCAGAAGTTGCAGCTAGCTACCCCCATCTCAGTGATATTACTGACTACATACCTACCATTGATGATAACATTTCGATTGAACTACTCATTGGTCGTGACCTTATTGACACTCATATAGTACTTGACCAACGTGTTGGCGTTCCTCTAGGCCAGAGACTACCCCTTGGATGGGTCCTGATTGGAAATTCCTGTCTCGGAACAGTTCACGAACAGACAGTTGTCACCGTCAACAAGACTGCCATACTTGCCAATGGTAGACCAACCTATCTAGAGCCCTGTGACAGTTCCTTTTGTGTGAAAGATGACCCAGTGTTTAAGCAAACAGCATATGATGAATGTGAAGGGCTGTCATTAGAAGACCAGGCCTTCTTGGATATCATGGACTCAGGATTCATAATGTCTGAGTGTGGTAAATGGACAGCGCCTCTACCATTTCGGACCTGTAGACCCATTCTACACAACAATCGAGAAGCTGCAATGAAACGAGCTATTTCATTCAAGAACAGTCTTATACACAACCCAACCAAGGCAGCACACGTCTGTGAGTTTATGCAGAAGATACTTGATAGACAACATGCTGAACCTGTTCCCGTAACAACCAATGGCACAGAGAAATGGTACATGCCACTATTCAGTGTCTATCATCCCAAGAAGCCCAACAGCGTAAGGGTAGTCTTCGATTCTTCTGCCAAGTATCATGGGTATTCCCTCAATGACGTTCTACTGAAAGGACCTCCTCTCTACAACAGTCTTCTGGGGATCCTACTCCGATTTCGGAAGGAAGCAGTTGCTGTTACCGCGGACGTTGAACAAATGTTCCACAACTTTTTCGTTACCCCAGGACATAGAAGTTATCTTAGGTTCCTCTGGCATGAAGACAACGACATCTCTAAACCGTTAATAGATTATCATATGAACGTTCACGTTTTTGGGAACAGCCCGTCGCCAGCTGTATCCACCTACGGGCTGCGCAAGGCAGTAGAGAAAGCAGAGACAGATGTTCAGGACTTCATTTACAGGAATTTCTATGTCGACGATGGTTTGATTTCCTGCCGTACATCTGAAGAAGCCATTGACCTGCTTGTTCGTACACAACGTGTCCTACATGACAATGGGAAACTTAGGTTACACAAGTTTGCATCCAATAACAGAGAGGTGTTGGACTCATTTCCACAGAGTGAGCTGGCTAAGGATCTCTGTAACCTTGATCTTTGTAATGACACATTACCAATGCAGAGAAGTTCGGGACTCTCTTGGGACATTGAAACTGATCAATTCACATTTCGCACATGTAAAGACAAGAAACCATTCACCAGACGTGGAATATTGTCTGTGATTAACGGACTTTACGACCCCATAGGCTTTGCTGTTCCAGTCGTTTTGAAAGGGAAGCTTTTGATGAAAGAAATTCTGTCCAGTACAACCTCCTTAGATTGGGATGACCCACTTCCTGAAGTGTTTAAAAACCCATGGGATGACTGGGTACAATCCTTAACTCAACTAGAACAAGTGTGCATTTGTAGACAGTACTCGGATCACTCATATACAGATTCCAATGTTCGTCTTGTGCATGTATTCTGTGATGCATCGAAAGACGCGATCGGTGCTGTTGCATATCTACAGCTCTTTGGACCTGTTGCTTCAGAGCCTACACTCAGTTTTCTGCTTGGAAAGGGAAAACTTGCACCTAATGGCGGCAACACCATTCCTCGGATGGAACTATGTGCTGCAGTTCTCGGAGTCGAAGTAGCAGACATAATCAAGGAACAACTTGGTATTCCATCAGAGTGCTTTAGATACTATACGGACAGCCAGATTGTCTTGGGTTATCTAACAAACACTACTCGCAGATTCTACGTTTATGTGTTAAACAGAGTGAAGCGTGTTCATTCATCTTCATCTCCGAGACAATGGACGCACGTTCCCACAGAGCAGAATCCAGCTGATCTGGCTACGAGATCAGTCTGTGCTACTCAACATTCAAACAGTATGTGGTTGATTGGACCTCCATGTGAGACCCTGACAAAAACATTTTCAGAACCACCCTTATGTTATCCGTTAGTGGAACCAAACAACGACTGTGAGATTAGACCTGAAGTCACATGCAACAAAGTTCAGATGGATGATGTGAAACCTTTTAACCATAAGATCGGATCAGAAAGATTCTTAAAATTCTCAACATGGGAATCTCTTGTTCGAGGAGTCAAGATCCTGAAGCAATTCATATATAAATCAGTGAAACACAGTGACATTGACTCTAGTGAAGCATATGAACATGCAGAACTTTATGTGATACAGACATGCCAGGGAGAAGCATATGATGATGCAATAAGATGTATCAAAGGTGGACGTCCCCTGCCGAACGGACACTCACTTATGGCCTTATCGCCATTTATTGACCAACATGGCATACTCCGCGTGGGAGGTAGACTTGACAAAAACAGACAAGGAGATGACAATCTTCACCCTGTGCTCATGCCCAAGAACCATTATGTCACCAGGCTGCTCGTGCGCAAATTCCACCACCAAGTGCTACATCAGGGACGACTGTTGACGGAAGGTGCACTTCGTTCTGGAGGATTCTGGGTAGTAGGTGCCAAAAATCTCATAAGATCAGAGATCAAATCCTGTGTCACATGTCGCAAGTTGAGAGGAAGTTTTGGTTGGCAGAAGATGGCAGATCTACCTGAGGACAGGATACAGCCTGCTCCACCTTTTCCTTATGTAGGTGTAGACACCTTCGGTCCCTGGACAACCACGCAACGACGGACCAGAGGGGGAACTGTGAATCAGAAGAGATGGGCTTTGATGTTTACATGCCTCGTTTCACGAGCAGTTCATTTGGAAGCCATTGAAGAATTGTCCACAGCTTCATTTATTAATGCATTACGCAAGTTCGTGGCCTTAAGAGGCCCTGTTATACAGTTTCGATCAGATCGCGGGACAAACTTCATTGGGGCAGTGCATGAACTAAAAATTCCCTCTGACCTGGTGGAAAACCCAGTATCAAAAAAGTATCTCGAGGAGAACAAGATCATGTGGGTGTTCAATCCTCCCCATGCCTCCCACTTTGGCGGGGCATGGGAAAGAATGATAGGTGCTTCAAGGAAGATACTGGACAGCTTACTCTTGAACCATAAGTCAATATACATAGATGCATCTTGTCTATAATATATCATTATCAATATGTTATCTATGAGAACTAGATGTATGTATAAATGACGCAGCTATGTTAAGGCTTCCCGAAGCTCTAAAATGCGCTCAAAACATAATATGTCATTGCGAGGTCGGTTTTAGTTTTAATTTATAAGTATTGAACTTAAGTACTCCCAATTTATATAGAGGGTTTCCTCGGCTATATATTAACATATTTGTTATGATATCACATGACTTTGTGGATCACGTGACGATCATTTATAATTTTTTGAGAAATTCAACTTATCTACAAATTTGAGGGTATTTTCCACACAATATCGTAATCTGTATTAAAACATTTTTCCCAAGCAAGATTCAGTTAGAGAATAACCTTTTCTCACAGATTTCCACAAAAATTCTCAGATTAATTCTCATTAATCACCTGCGCCATGCTCTTTTATACACACAAAATAAATTCTACCTCCAACCACGGGTATAAAACAGAGTACATTTCAAAAGTATATTTTTCATAAGCATTTCGAACTTGCTGAATTTCAATCAAGGGTAGGTAAGCGGTGTATTTTTAAAATATTCGGACATATAATACTTAAAAAACCTTTAACGACCCGTGAATTTTGTAATAGCTATCTAGCATTTTACATACAGTTTGAAATAAAGTGTAAAGTTCATGACACTCTCCGTCATAACACCTCAAATTTGCAGTGACTTGACGTCATTTTCCATTATGACGTCATATTTGGTAGTTCAGAGATGTGAAGGCACAGAGTGCACTGGGATATTCTACGGGAAGCCAAAACATACCTGCGGATGCATTAATAGGATTGATTTGATGTGATATAATATTGTTGTTTTATTATATTTCAGGGCTATCTTTTCATATTGCTCACTGTGTCAATAAAATTAGACCTGAACCCTGACAGAGGCGTGCTTGTTTATTTATACACAACCCCCCGTTTCAATTTGGCGCCCATGTTGGGACAGAGTGAGGTACAGCAGGGAATGGAGAGAGGACTGGAAATCGTGTACACCATGGTATTCCAAGGAGATGTAACTCACGACTGGTACTTTGAATAAACAGCTATCCGTGCACAACACTTCAGAGTGAACACTGGACAGTGTATGTGATCCCACTGATTCGCGCTTGACTGATCAGAACATTTACACTAGTGTGTTTGTGATATCAGCTGATAGTGACAGTGTAATGATCGCAGCAGCATGCATGCTTCATCGGCCTGATTGGTGCACCGGGACCAAAGACAGTAGTAGATAAGATTTTCTTTAGATAAGATTTTTCAGTTTGATACATGCATGTTTTATATTTATTTTTGAGGTAGCTAGCTAGCCTATATATAGAAACACGTGTTTATTGATCATGACCTGTCTGTCCGTCTGTCATCGTAGTTAGCCTGGGTTATATTTGTATATTCTGTGCACATTTTTATTTGAATTGATCACTGGACTGAAAGCAGGAGTGCCAGGATGGGTAAGTGGTAAAATTAACAGTGCACATTAGCCTTATACCCTTTAACCTACCAGATATTAATAACTACAATATTTAAATGCTATACCTTTTGACATTTTTATCTGTTTACGGACAAGACATAATTGTTTTAGTACGTAGTATTTTATAGCAGGTGGTCAATAAGTTGAGTGGAGGTTTGACTTTCATTTATTGTCAGTGGTATTTTGTGCTGTTTGTTTATTCATGTGGTGTCTGTAGTGTATAGTGGTTTAAATCACTAGATATAGTTCAAACAGACCTTCGAAAACCCGAAATTTCCCATTGTCCTGTATTTATAAATCTTTTCAACTGGCGATTTAGACACAGGAACAACTGATAAAGTAAAGCCTCGGTTTGAATTATCTGATGAGACACCATTCAAGCAGAAATACCGGAGAATACCACTAGCTATGATAGAGGAAGTGCGATACCATATCAAGGATCTCTTAGCTGCTGGGATAATTAGGTCATCTCATTCTCCTTTCTCATCAAATGTAGTCTTAGTCCGTAAAAGCGATGGTTCACTACGCCTTTGCATTGATTATAGACAACTTAACTCTCGGACCATAAAGGACAATTATGCATAACCAAGGATCGAGGAAATTTTTGGATTCTCTCTCTCTGGTAATACCTACTTCAGCGTCCTCGACATGAAGTCCGGCTACCATCAGTTCGAGATTGAGGAACATCATGAAGAGAGAACCGCATTCACAGCAGGACCTTTAGGGTTCTATGAATTCAACAAGATGAGTTTCGGTTTAGCGAACGCCCCAGCCACGTACCAGCGGCTACACGAAGAATTTTTACGCGACCTACATCTGAAAATTTGTTTTATTTATTTGGATGATTTAATTATTTTTTTCCTTCTTTCAGACAACATCTCGACCGACTTCAACAACTCCTTTATATCCCTAGCCCTACCTTTAAACTTGTACACCTGTATATAGATAATTAGTTACCTTAGGGCAGGTCAAATATTTGGGAGTTTTATTGGTTTTCATCGGTAGTCTGTTTATGAAGAAATCAACGGAATAAAAACGTACATAAATACATACCTTATTAGACTGATTTTTTTTATGTAAAACAATTTTATTTTCACATTACTTTTATATAATATTATTTTTAATAACATTTCAAAAAGGTGGCTCCAATCAGCCACGTACCTCCGATCACTTGACTCTACACTAATTTAGTGTTTCGGCGGTGTGAAACGAGGTATATTTATATAAATTAATTTTATAATGAAGAAATAATTTTCTTCCTACTGCTGCAAATCCGCCTCATCAGGAGTCTATTTGCATTATGCATTTATGCATCTACACATAAACAATAAGATTATTTAAATGTTGAGGAGGTGAGAATGTAACCCAGGTTTTTCTTGCGTTTGTAGGACCCAATAGATAATTCAGAGAAGACTTTTTGACAGTCTTCATCCTTTGCAAGGATATGCCAATATTTTATCAGTTTTCTTTTTGAATGTCGTATACAGGGGTTGTACTTTGTGACAAAAACAAGAGGAATTCCTCTTTTCCTGATGCTACTTTTACTTTGCAGGGTTTTTTCTCTGCTATAATTAGCGAGTACATTTTGCATGTTAGATTTGATTTCAATTTTATCATATCCTCTCTTTAAGAGATTAACCTCAAACTCAGGCAGAATTTTAAGCAAGGTGATTTTATTGCTTGTATTTCTCATATGGCGTATTGTTTCACCTTTGCTAAATCCTTTAAAAACAGAGGAATTATGTGCACTGTTGCGTTCCAAATATTGGAATGTATTTGTTGGTTTAATGTAGGTTTTAAAATCCAGAATTTGACTGGTTTTATATCTCTTTCCTTTGAACACTGTGGTGTCTAAGAAATTGATTTCTTGTGTAGAAATTTCATATGTGAATTTGAGCAGAGGATGTTGTGAATTAGCTATTTCAAATAGCTCATGGATGTAAGTTTCTAATCCATGAAAAATGATGAATCCGTCGTCGCGATAGCGACCATGATATATTATTTTATTTTTCCCTGTAAATTTATCGATGATTTCATCAGTAATTTGGTGTAGGCGTATGTCGCACACAGATGGGGAACACTTAGAACCCATCGCACATCCTATTGTTTGTTTATACAAAGCAGAGTTGAATTCAAATATATTGTTTTCTAGTACAAGTCGAAGAAGAAAACAAAGATCAGTTGTAGGTGGAGCGGGTATTATACATTCTGCTTTGTTGAAGTTTGTATAGGCCATTTGAACAGCCGTAATTAGCTCCTCGAAATGCATATTGGTGTAGAGCGATGTTACATCATAACTGACCCGTAGGCACTTAGCGTGTGGTCTAAGTTGTTCAACTTTTAGAATGAAGTCTGAACTGTCCCTGATATACGTGCTTAGTGTTTGCACGACGGGAGCCAGAAAGTAATCTACATACTGGCTTATGCGTTCTGTAGGTGAACCTATTTGTGAGATAATAGGTCGACCTGGTGGAATAATTGGTGAATTCCAGCTACCATTGTTTTTAATCTCATTAAAAGTCTCAATATTGAGCTTGTGTATTTTAGGGAGCAAATATAATCTCCCTATCCTCGTGTCTTTAGCTTTCCGTAGAAAGTCATAGATAATATTGTCAAGTACACCCTTAGTGTTCATCTCAGACAATTTTTGTGTGATAATATTTTCGAGATGATTTAGATTGGGATTAGTAATTTTGCAGAAGTATTTGCTATTTAACTGACGTTCACCTTTAAGGATGTAATCAGTTTTTTTAATTACGACGCACATGTTGTTTTTGTCAGCTTTTTTGATGATGATGTCTTTACGACCTTTTAGCCTTCTTCGTGCTTGGCGTTCAGATATGCTTAAATTGTCAGTTGATTTGCGAACTTCCATAGATGACAATTCAAGTCTTGTATTGTCAATATATGTTTGAACTGAATTGTTCATAATTTCAGGTTCAAAACCGCTTTTCATGCGGAAAGGATGTATATTGTTGTCACTATCTGGGTCATGAAACATGTATTTACATTTTAATTTTCTGGCAAATTCATTAAAATCTCTCATTACTTGTTGTTTGACTTGGTGTGAGATAGATGAAGGTACAAATTTTAGACCTTTTGCCAAAAGTAAATACTCCTCATCTGACAATCTGTCAGGTGTGAGATTAAACACATGATCTCGAGCTATTAGTACTTTATTCTTGTGTTCTCTAATTTTTCGAGCTTTAAAATTCATAGCTCTGTTTTTCTTACATTTAGACTTGGCGTTTCGATTGAAACGAGGACCCATTCTGCAAGTGAATGAGTGTAATAATGACAACAGATATTCCTCAAAATGTGGGAGGAGTTATGGGCGATTTCGCTCCAATCAGATTAAAGCAGCCAAGAGACTATTTTGACATGTGGAAGGATAATGAATTAGATACCTTTCATAGTAATCCGTTTTACTAATCCCATAAACAAAAGATATGATTCATAGATTTGCACAAATAAGATGAATGGAATCTTAACTGAGTTTTAGTATAGAATGAAGTCAATTTCAAACAGAGTGCATCTTATTGTGTTAATATGGACGGAATTTTTGTCCTCTTTGCACTTGTTTCCCGTGTTTTTCTCTGGTGTCCTTTGGTTGTCTCTTAGGAAACCGTTCAGTTGGTTTTCTTACCGATCTAATATTCATTTTGAACTCCATTAGGTAGCGAACAAATTTCTCTTTAAGTTCTCTTGTTTTGTCATTCAATTGTGTCTTAGCAAGACCAGCAGCAGAGGTAGATTTACCAGTTGAATTTATGGTTTCTACCCGGATATCTTTAAGATGGTGATTGGAATGACTAATCTTGTCGTCCAGTAAGTCAACTGTTGATTTTAGCGCTTTATCTTTCAGAAACCGTGTTTCATTCTTCCAGAGTTCCTGAAATTCTTTATAAATATTTGGATCCCCCAAGTTTGGACGACACTCTATTTGCCATTTCATGTATGGTGGTAATCTGCCTGACACAATTGCGTAGGAAATGCCTTCACACGCACATGCAATATTGTGTCTCTTATTTAATTCAGTCTCAAACCTCTTGACTGCTTCTGACACAATGTCTGCCAGTGCCTTTTTGGGTTGAGAATTCCTTTTTGTAGAAGGTAAATCCAAATTTGTTAGGTCCAGATCATAATCAAATTCATCTTCTTCATCGGACGCAGACTCAGTTATCATTTTTTTTTAATTGTTCCTGGTTACAAGGATTTCAAAAAGGTGGCTCCCATCAGCCATTTACCTCCGATCACTTGACTCTACACTAATTTAGTGTTTCGGCGGTGTGAAACGAGGTATATTTATACAAATTAATTTTATAATGAAGAAATAATTTTCTTCCTACTGCTGCAAATCCGCCTCATCAGGAGTCTATTTGCATTATACATTTATGCATCTACACATAAACAATAAGATTATTTAATTGTTGAGGTGAGAATATCACCCAGGTTTTTATTGCGTTTGTAGGACACGATAGGTAATTCAGAGAAGACTTTTTGACAGTCTTTATCCTTTGCAAGGACCCCGCTCTGTACTGAATTTGGTTTGGTCACGTTAATTGACAGTTAAGCGATAAATGCATGTAATGTGTACTATATGTATGTCACAAAAAATTCCAATATCGCAAGGGCATACCCAAGTTAATATTAAAAAATTTAAGTATAAATTGTTTCAACATAACTTGCAGTTTACTGAAAATGTGTGCTGCTGCTTTAAATAGAATTCGCATTTTATAAGCTTAAATTTCAAATTATTTGGCTCTAGCCGAAATATGTGGGACTTTACCAAGTATTTTATGTTTTCATTAAGTTATGCTCTCGATTTCAAGAAAGCAACAGCAATTTTCAAGATAAGAAATGTTTCCGTTATGTTAACTGAAAAAATAGTCGAGATCTATTAAGTGTATGCCCTTGCGAAAAGCGATTTGGTGAAGCACCTCGGCCTGAAACATGCAAACCCTGTTCACAATACTTTAGTTTATCCAGAAAATATCTTCAGAAGGGAATTCGAAGCAGTGCTGACTGTGATGTACTACAAACACATAAGGAAGAGGTGGAAGTGTTGCCTGTAATAGAAGGAAAGGATGACATTTCCCAAAGGTATAATATCTTGACTAAAAAGTATAATGGGGGGGGGGGGGTTAGGTTTTAATCTAGCGAGGAAATTTACTTGCTAAGAAATGGCCAAAGTTTTCTTTCTTTTTTTTAGTTGAACCCCCCCCCCCAAATGTACTTTTTAATCAAGATATTATACCTCTTCATAATGTATTTGTATTACATCACAGTCAGCACTGCTTTGAATTCCCTCAACTTCTGAAGATATTTCCTCATGGGCGCCCACATCCCAGCTAATACCTCTGATGAAAACATAATTTTCTGGATAAATTAAAAATTAAACCAAAATACATACTTTACAATGGATAAATTTTAATTTATAACTAGTAATATTCATATAAACTAGTCACAAAGAACATATTGTACCATTTTTTTTTCTTTTCCTGTGGGCCATTTCCATTTTCAACTTTGGACAACACTCGTCTCTTTTTACCTGTGTGCCTTCTCTATATCAAACGATGAGCCAGTGACTAGCAACGGGTCTGGGTGCTGCTCTGTAGGCCTTCCAGGGACAAAGTGCTTCGAGCATATATATATGTCGACTTGTTTACATTAGCTACAGAGAAGTTTTTTTTTCTACCGCACAGTTTGACTCACCTCTGGCATTTATCTGGTTGAGAAAACAGTTTCGGAAAAAGAATCCAGGTTACTCCAGTCATGTACTCTCTTTCTGCATACCGGGAATTACTATTACACGTCCTCCAACAACAATGTTTAACCATACTGACTTTACGCTAACTTTAACGTCAAATAAGTAGATAGTCGTAAGGTCTGGTATCGCTTAGAGCATTGAAAAATATGACGTCAGGGCTGCTTATATCATGTATAATTGGAAAATCTACTATTGTCTATTGTCGACGGGGGTGTTCTCCTATTATAATTTTTTTAATTCTACTTGATCTCTGACTTGCGAGTTATATTGAATGTACAGGGAGGTGACCTACATTGTCGATGACACCATTTACGGAGTAGCACCTAGCACTGAGAAGCACCAATCCATTCCGAGTTCCATGGAAGATCCCAAGATTTTTTTATGAGACTTTTTAATATTAAATCATTTAATTTCTATAAAATAATTGATTCTGATTGGATTATGATTCGATAAAAATTATTTTGATAACTGGATTAATAGAATCTGGAGTTCACTTGCACTTACCTGTGCCAACTTTAGTAAACTTTGGTAAACTTAACTTTACATGTTTATTTCCCGCTTCAATGTTGCTTTTTGAAGAAAAATGATATACTTTTACTCTATTTTCCTGAATTTCAAAACTTCCCCTTTTTCCTTATCTTATCAAAAATCGGACGGAAGACCCACTCGTTGCTCGCAACGAGATCGCATCTAGTTATTATTGTTTTTGTTCTTACCAAATTTGTGCACGCGATTTCTCGAAAAGGGCTCGATGGATTTCCATGAAACTTTCAGGACATATGTAACATCACTTGAACCTTATGCATTTTTTTCTGTTTTGATGACGTCACTTCCGGTCCGGAGATATTGCCGATTTAATGGTTTTCGAAGGGTCGGGTTGTCCGCAGATTTTCTCATATACGGCTTTAGTTAGAAACATGAAACTTTCAGGTATGGTAGACCTATCTCTGTAGATATGCGGAAGGCGCTTCATTTTTATCGGAAGTGCCGCGCGTCGGCGCTCGCTATGGCCCAAAAAAAGTCCTATCGGGAATTTTATTTTTTCTAACACTTTTTCTATAGTATCTTTTTACCTGTTAGTATTTTGTTAAAACATATAGAACAAAAGTTGTGTAGAATGTTACGATCCTTCAAATGATACCAACAATAAGGGCCTGGCCCCTAAAATTAGGGAACTAGAGGGGCCAAAAGTGTTTTCCTGATATCTTAAAAAGTATTGAGAATTTGTATAGCTTCATAGAAGCAAAGTTGTTCAAAATGATAAGTAGCAGCTAAGGAGACCATTAAAAGTCGTCAAAATGACGTCACTTCCGGTCACACCGAGAGTAATGGTAAATGGCTCATTTTTGCACATATGACCGTAGAAGTCTCTCGATCTCAATCTCATCTCCTTCAAATTTAGACGGAAGACTTATTTGTTGCTTTGCAACAAGCTCGTCTAGTAATAATTAACTTCTTTGACCTTTCTCAGCAGAAATCACTTGAAATGCCTCCGTTTATTGGGTCTTTCCACCTATCTATGACTTTGACCTTGACCCTTATCCAAGGGTCGGATAGGAAAGTAAAGACATGCATCCAGCGCAAGTCTCAGTGTAAAACATAGAGAGTAAATAGGGTTTTTTATAACTTGACCTTTGACCTTGACATATGACCTTGATATTAAGGTCAGAATGTTTACTGAGGAAGTGGAGTTGATAACAACTCCCAGTTTATAACAGGCTAAGGATTATTATATTAACCCCCCCCTTTTTTTTCGAAAAAAAAAAATCACAGAAGTTGCAACATAGAATATCGCCCTAGAAATAAATTCAAACACCGGATCGACACAAAACTTCAGAGAATTGTAGTTGAGTCGCCAAAGTAACTTTCTGTAGAGATTTATTCTCTATCTCTCAAAAATGTAGAAATTACAATTTTTTTCGAAAAAACTTGAAAGAAAACAATCACCCCGAGAGCAATGTGAAGTCTTTCTCTAAACTTTAAATCACACTTCGGATAGATCTAAAACTTTACGGGTTGTAGTCGAAAACCAACAGGAACTTTCTAAAGTGTTTTATCGACCTTCTCTCTCTCTGTCTCCCAAAAGAAAAATATAGAATTATGAATTTTATCGGCAAACATTAAAGGAGACATCAATAGTGTCTACATTTAAAGAGAACTGAAATATATCTTGTCTCAGTTATTTCTTCACTCATCGTTAAAAGCACTCAGTTCAGATTTGATATGAAATTATAATATTCATCTAACGTTCTTTTCTTTTTCTATTACATGTGATATACCAGTCTCAGTTTAAAACATAGAGAGTAAAGAAATTTTTTTTTATAACGTGACCTTGGCCTTTGACCTTGACCCAAAGGTCACAATCAGGCTTAAGGATTAAGAATGTGGAAGCAGTTACAATTTTTAGTTTAAAAAAGGCATGAAATAAATCCCTTTTTCAAAAAAAAAAAAAAAAAAAAAAAAAAAAAATCACATTAACAGCAACCTAGAATATTTCTCGA